GTAAATTATATGTGTAATGAAAACGATTGAAAAACATGAAAAAAAACGATGTTTTTCATATTTTGCTAAAGTATCTAAAAATTTAACTAGATATAGATCTGAAAATAATTTTGTTGGACCATCAAAATAATTAATATAAAATGATAGCCCAAAATAGTCGTTAAAACGCCCAAAATTTTTTACAACATTGTTCATTATATTTTAGCGTTCTACATAATTATTTAAATCTAATAAAATTATTTTTTTTAATCTGTATCTTATATCTAAATGTTTAGATAATTTGGGAAAATTATCCTTTTTAGAAATAAATGTAGCAAAGGTCTAGCATCGAAACTATTTTCAATAACCTAATCATAAATCAAAAATATTAATGACATTATTAATACACAATTATCACAAATATATGATAAAAATCGATTTCATCGCACAACATATCTATGAAATTAAATAAATCACTTTTGGAAGTAAATCACTGTGTTGTTATAATATTACGATACACATAAACGATCGACGTGTAGTAAACGTTATTTAAAATAATTGAGAAACTGAAAAAAGCACGTACCAACATGATACTCGTACAGTTCGGTACGAGTAGAAACCAAAGTTCGATGTTAACTGGTTGCGAACGACATTCTCTCATCTTTTATATTCGGCGTTTACTGATGCGAGACAACAGAATGGGTTGGACTTTCCTAAACTTTGTAAAAAGCGTATCGAGAAAAACCGAGTTAAATTACCTCGCTTCTCCCTGATCAGTGAAGCCATGATCGTAACTATTGATCTAGCTTTTTATTAATCTATACTTCTCTCTCTTTGTTATATTTATATATTATCCTCATGTAAATTATAATGCAACCAGAAATTAGACGAACAATTCTTCATACTAAATCTGCGGATGTGATTAAATTCAATTTCCTATTTGATATTGTTTAGTAAAACATGAATTAGTAATAACATATAACAGGAAATATTTATAATATAAGATATTTTGCTACATAGATTTAAATGGAAATGGAATAATAATATAACATTATTGTATAATTATATAGATATACATATTTCTAATGTTCATTGTATATCCTGTAGAGGTAATAATAACTGTATCATTTACCAGAATAATTATTTCTTTTATTGGCCATTATTCTGAGAAAACTTGCGTGAGTAACTAGCATAATAGTTTTATAAATTAACATAAATCCCAAACTAATTTTTGCCTAATTCTCAGGGTTTTCGAGAAAGTGGCTGTTGCACAATAAAAATGCTCCAATGGATTTATGTGTATAGGCTCCATTGAATGAATCTTAAAGCTAATGATTGTTACATACCGTGAGGTGAACGTCTCTTCCTTCTGGTTTTATGGTTGAATTATTATACCAATCAAGTGGAAAGAATGCAATTGTATATATATATTTTCGCCATATTGTTAATTTATATTTTGTAAATAATTAATTTTTATATGATTTTAATATTTGTTCTAAATGCAGTTACTAATTTCTGATTTCTAAATGTCGGTCATTTTGTTAATTAATTATTTAAAATATTAGGAAAAATTATAATTACATCTTTATACTTATTATACTTTATAGTTATAATGTAATATTTTTTTAAAAGTAAAAAAATATTTATAGCAATTTTTAATATTTTATAACATAAAACTTACAAATTATTATTTTAAATTAGAACAAGTATTTATTGAAATTATAATAATCATTTACGATTGTTATCACTTTTAAAAGACTTTTTTTTTATTATTTAACATTCTATTTAGAATAGATAGTGTTTAAAAGAACTTAAACTTTAAATGATAATAACAAATATATGACGGAAATAATATATTTATAAAAAATAAATTAATAATTTATTTACTTTACAAAAATACTGAACGTTTAATATTTTTAACTGATCGTTCTTTTTTTAATTTTATTGTTATATAAATAATTATAAAAATATAATAATGTCATAAATTATAAAGAAATATTTTCAGTTTTTAAAAAGAACAATTCTTTCTAGAGGATAAAACATTTTCATTAGTTCAATTTTATAACCAAGATTAAAATCTTAATACGACTTTGTCACAAAAAACTCGAAAAAAATTTCTATAAATATTAATGCAACCATGAAAACATTTTGTTTTTAGATTATTGATGTAAAAATTTGATATTCATCGTATTTTTATTGAAAACTACAATTTTTAAAATAGTTTTTGTAATTTTAAATATTGGAATTGAGTACATTTATTATTATTAGAAGATTATTTTATCTTAAAGAACATTTTATTAACGTGTTTATCACAAATATTATTATAATTATTATATTTTATTAACGTGTTTATCATGATTATTCAGATCATCAAAGATGAAAGATATTTTAAATAAATAACAGAAAACAATGTGTTTAAGTTAATTAGAGTATAATTATATTTGTTTTGTAAAATAAAACGTTATTATAATACATACCTTTTATAAAATTCTTTGCATTTTTTGTTGGTATAGAAAAAGTATTTAGTTATTGATCACGTCCTTGAATAGATGAAAGAGAAAAGAGAAAGTCGATAAGAAGAGGAAATAGTTATAAGTTAAACAGAATATAAAAGCTATACAAATTATAAGACGTATGTATTTCTTGTTTGATTTAATATGTATATACAGTATTTTTTTTCTGTATCTTACAATGATGACTGATGAATTTTCTTTCCCCTTGACCCGAACATTCCGTGCGAGCGCATACGATACTAACGATTAATTTTTCCGTATAAAACTTATTTATTGTAATTAAACACTTAGTGCAAACAGCACAGCGGCTCGATCTGGCCTTATGCTGCATTTGATAATGCGCAAAGCGGACGGGAAGTCGTCCGTTATCGCGAACAGGAGAGTAAACGTACATACTATTTAATTAATTAAAGTCCTTTCACGAGCAGATTTACACTGGAAAAAGAGTCTGATTGCATCAATTAAAATTCTGATTGAAAATGGACAAATCAAAATTTTTTATTTGAATTTATAGTTGTGTGTGAGATAATCAAAATTCTGATTAATGTGATTAGAATTTTTTGATTCGTCCATTTTCAATCAGAAATTTTTCTCAGTGTATAGATTTTATGCGCAGATCCACATCGCGTGATCGATGTCTTGCTTGTACTTTTGATTACAAATTTACGCGGTATCGTTTGCCGAATAGACATTCTCGTTGGCAACCAAAGTAGGCTGCGAAGCGATATTAGATTTGTCTATATAATCTCTGAAGGTATTAGCGTAGAACTGCTGCTGTAACCGACGCCTGTCTCTCTCGAAGAATTGCCTTAATTGATTCTTGTTGCGAAAATAGTTCTGCGCGCCTCTATTTGGCAACTGTTTGTTCTTCATTAACATGCCAAGAAGATTGTGCATTCTAGGGTGATTGATATCGTATTCTGTATTACTTTTTATTTCCCTTAAGATTTTACCGAGGCTTTCCGGTGTCGGCGTGGTGAATGTCGGATAAGAATCAAGAAACGACCGGTGCCTAGAATCGTAATCGAAGTTTTCAGTATCGAAATCTTTAGGCGGCTTACGTGCGTAAGCATGCGGTCCATCCAGATACATTTCTACATTACTAGCAGATGTTTCTAGTCCATTGGATCCTTTATTTGACCTCCATTTCCTTGGGCCATTCTTAAATCTCGATCCAGGTCGTTTTTTCTTCATCTGCTTATCGTGGAAGGGAACTTTTGAACGAAATGCGTCCGGTCTGGGTGGCGTAAGAAATTTCAAGTAGCTATCGTCATTGAAATCATAGTTGGAACTTGCAGCAAAGTTTGTATCTTCTAATTTAGGTTTACGACCAGGTTTAACGGCGCCATGATAGATGTGTATTGGTCCCGCGGGTCGTGTCTTTAGCAAATGTTCCAAAGTCTCCAATAGAGGATCCAATTTTTTTTTACCGTCTGAAGAGTTGGGTACGTCACTTGTGTGTATGTTGTTCTCACTCTGATGCGCTTCAAGAATGTCTCTGTACTTGGACTCCGTTAAGGAAGATTTTAACTTTTGCAATTCATGCTTTAGTTTGGCTAAGTCACTCGCTTCGGAATTATTCTGAACCGGAATGTTTTCCGGTCTTCTATCGTTGTTCCATTTCTGCGAGTTGTACATCGTCTTCAAAGATTCTTTGAACATTTCCTCAGCGTAATTCTGTAAGTCCGACGTAAGCTTCGGCTTCATGATCAACTCGGTTTGGCCTGAATGCGGTTTAAAAAAGTTCCCGCCGGGCATGGCTGGCACCAGATTTAAACCTGGCTGAAGGGGTTCGTTCGTTGACAACTTATTGTTAAGAGCGTTTTGATTTTTGATAATGTCAACGTTAGGGACGAAATTGATGGGATTAAATACTGGTTGCTGAGACTGCACAAGTTTGAGATCCACTTGCTTAGGTTTGGCTCCAGACTCTGTCAGAGAATTCATGTAATTGTGCAGAATGGTTTGCGGAGTAGCTGAGGCGATTGTGCTAAAAATTGGGATGGGTGTCGTCAAAACAGTAGTCGGATAGTGCATCGCTTGATAAGCATTCACATTGAGAGGACTGGGTTTAATGTTTGGATTCACGATCTCTACAGTCTTCGCACCTACATTCGGAAGATGAGCGTTTGTCGCTGCTGCTCCTAGCATATTTAAATTATTAATCGAATGACTAGTCGTACTGTCAGCGGCCTGCAATACAATGCCGGATAGTCTACCACCCTTCACTAGTTGCTTATTTATTTGAGCTTGCAGTTCCTGTAAATTCTGTTGAGTTGGAATTAGCTGCGTATTCTGACCCTGAACATAATATGAGTTAATATTAGCCGCCTGCTTTTGTCCATTCTGGCCGACGGCTAGGCTTGCGGTAGCGAGAAAGTTCCCGCCGGAAGTAGGATACACATTCTTCTTGCTCTGCATTTCCAAGTTGGCTCTACTCTCTGGCATCGTTTGGCTGGACAACAGAGTGGACACTGCCGGCGCACTCTGTACCTGTAAATTACCATGATTTATCAAATTCTGACCTTGCAGTCCGCGGGAATTCACCTGGATTTGAGTTGCCTGCAGCGGCGTCTGTAGAAAACTTGGATACGTCTGAATAGTCGGCTGCGGTAACACGGTGAAGGTCGTTTGTGGTGTTACATTGCCCTGCATACCGTGAATATTCAAGCTCTGCAGCGCCGGGTTCAAGTTCGGCGTGAGGGCGAATACAGGTGTCATAGTGCTCGGAACGTAGGTCGCTCTCAGAGTATTTACGATTTTATTTGGGCCGCTCGGATGTGAGAGCAAAACCGTCTGCACAGGATTTTGGAAAGTGTTCTGGCCAACGACGATATCGGGCACTGGCGTGGAGACCAGATTCTTTGATACAGCCAAATTCTGAGTAAGGACAGACTGAGGCGTACTCAAGAGAGGCGTTGACGTGCTGAATGCACCAATCGGTGCGACGGTAGCAAGATTCTGCAGCATAGCGTTGGACATGTCGAAACCCTGGCTACCACCTAACGCGGTTGCGTGATCGAAGTTTGCTACGGGCACGAGATTAACAATGTATTTCGGCTTCTCCAGTTGATTCAACTCTATCCCATTGGACTGAGAGACTTCGAGATTCGGAGATATCTGACTCCACATGTTGGTATTCTTCGATCCATGAACTTTCTTTGTTTTTGTGCTAGTAACTCTGGAATCGTGTCGAATGTCTTCGACGCTCTCGTCATGGTGATTCGTGCTGGGATCATTGAGCCATGGATTTGTTTTCGTTCTTTGCCGCTGCGATTTTAATTTTGAAGAGTTGTACGTGTATTTACCCTCATCCGTGCTCTCGTTCAATGTATCTCGATGTTCTTTGGAGAGTTGTTTTCTGACGGAATCAGGACGTTTCCGATTTTTTTGCGCTCTCAATCTCAGCCGTTCGATATAATCGGAGTAATCCGTGCTTTCATCTGAGACCTCTTCGGAGTCTTCCGTGCGTTGATAACTACGCTGCCTATTGTTATTGTTGTAAGTATCGTAAGTCTGTGAGTTAGAAAATTCTGAGTTTTTCAAAGTTTTCTCATCATTATCAGACTCGCTGTCTTTCAGCTGTCTGCTGAACTTTATCTCCATTTTATGATTACTCGGCTCGGCGACGACGACCGGCTTCATGAACCTATGGCGTGTTCTCGACAATTTGGCGGCATTGCCATAAGTTCCGCTATGCGCGAGTTCGTTGGCCTCATAATTCGTCCTTGATGAGGATGGGGTCGCTTCTGCATTCTGCTTGGCCGCGCTCAGTTCATTGTAGTTTGCAGTATTCTGCTGCTGATAATTATCAACAACTTTCTCCTGCCCATAAAAAGTTTTCTTTGCATCTTGAGCATTATTGTCCAAATAGAATTGAGCATAGATATCCGCGTCATTATTTTGTTGCGACTGCCAATCGTAATTATGAGTGTGGTTCTCAAATCTCTTCCCTCTCTCGCTGTTTGGACGCCTCGAAGATTTATCGAACTCACTATTGGTCTGGATGTTCGCTATGCTGTGCACGTTCTCGTAAAAATCCTGGTAATTAGCTATCGCGGGGGTGTCGTTGTTCACCTTCAGCAGCTCGAATTCATTTAGCCTATCGTCCTGCAAATCGAAAGACCTGCGATTCGTCAATGCTTTAGGTAGACTCAAGAAGATCCTTGCTTCGGAAGAGTATGCTAAATCCTCTTCCAATTTTTTCACCCTTGAATCGTAACTGTCTTGAGCACTTACGGCATTCGACACGTTGTTTTCTTTAGATCTCTCCTGCTCGTAGTCATTGATCTGTGACGAGTCGAGTTCGTACAAGACGGATGGCGAGACGGATCGTACCATAGGGATAAAGCCGTTAGAATTTTCATAGTGTACCGTTGACGACGATATGCTCGAGAGCTGTTCTTCAAAATCCTTTGAATCTTTATTCGGTTTTATAGCGTGTACTACGGTCTCCGAGGCAGTTGCGAGTTGGTCGAAGATCTCTTCACTTTTTAAATCAGCATCCTCTAAGCATCTTATTTGTGGCCAGCCGAGGAACAGCAATATCACCTACGAAAGTTGAGAAATGCTATTAAATTATGTCTGTGATTGAAACTTAAGAGCCAACTTTCAAATCGTTTGTCTAAGTAATCAAATGATTAATAATAAATTTAGTAAATTTAAATGACAATATTATATCATTTTTATATCATTTGACATATAAAATTAATTGTAAAATAAAACGTATAAAATAAAAATTAAAAGAATGTACTTCAGACGATATAGCAAAAAATTTTATAAAAACATATTTTTATAAAACCGAATTAATTTATTAATTAAAAATTAAAATTTTATTATATAACATAAATGCGTGATAAAATTATAACATAATTAAATTAGTAATAATATATAAATATAGTAGAGAGCGCCTAGGTGATAATATAATTATTCTTCTTGGTAATAATTAAACTAATAATAAACATAAAAAGAATCTTAAGTTATTGTAGAAGTATGAGATCTGGAAGATACATTTTACATATATTTTTAATTATAAGTCTTGCTAAAAAAGAAAGCAGATATGCATTGCAAAGTTTGGATAGTCGCTTTATGATAGTAAGCAGTGTTAATTGCTGTTTCGTCAAGGAGATGACCTAGAAAAGAAAAGCAGACTGGAAAAGTAAAATGCGTGTGCAATGGAAATAAGAACTGGATGTGCAAGGAAGCAAATCTTTGTGGACTTTCTCACTAATTCATGGTCATTTGAGTTATTATTTGACAATGACTTCCATATTGGTGTCATCGTTAATGTAATAATTTTGAGCGGTAAAAAAGAATTTTCAAAGCTCGAAGTGCAATTGTATCACATAAATGATTTTTCTCTATAAAATGCAGAAATCCGAGCAGCTAACCATATAGCTTATCCGTTTAGAGAGTGTCGGTGAAAAGTAATTGTGGAGAAAACAGTGCCAATTTAAACTATTCTTTATGCCTATCGTTAAACAAGTCGGTCGAAGTTGTCGATCGAAATATAACGTCATTAATATGCACATCTTTATTTAGAAGTAATTTTGTGTGTATCTCTCGATTAGGTTTTATAAAAGCATTTAAAAATAATATGTGTGTATTAATAACATTTTTATAATGCAAATTTTACATTTTATTCTTTGCTATTGTATCAAACAATATGTATATTAAAATAAAAACGTACAACAAAAATTTTTCTAATAGTTTTTAATTTAGTACAAACATTAGATAGCAATTTTTATATAAATCATTTAAAAAAATATATTTAGCTTGTATATTTAATACGACACGTTTTATAAGAACATTTTTATAACAGAATAATAAAAGAAGATACAATTAAAAATATATATTAATATAATAATGCAATAATGAAGTAAAAAATAATTTAACTATTTAAATGAAAATAGGTAAAGTAAGTACGTATTGTAAAAGAATATATATATATATATATATATATATATAT